ATACTATAATTATTTTTTAAATTTAAGTATTAATATTTAATAATTAAAATTATAAATTCTGAATTAAAATTTTAATTTTTAAATACATTAAATTCTGAATTAAAATTTTAATTTTTAAATACATTAAAACACTTTTTTTAATCTGTCTACTTTGAATTTTTTTTTTAGTTTTATTGTTAAATTTTACATATCTATTACGTTAAATGAAAAAAATTCTAAAGTAAAGAAAAAAAAAACTTTCTTTAACCTTTTTCGTTCTTTTATTTTGGCAAAAAAACCAATTTTTTTGTTCATCTATTTAAAAAAAAAAAAAACCTTTTTTTGTACTTTATTTTAAGATTTCTGTTAAAATAACATATTACAAGCTTATAAAACAAAAACTTAACAAAGGACTAACAATAGATCCAATTTTAAATTTTAAGATTAAAAAAGATTTTTATAAATTAAAGAATTAAAAAATTTGTTTTTTTTAATAAGTTGTCAAGAAGTGAAATTCCATGAAAAATAAAAAATGTACCTTAAGCTGATAGGGTTACCAATTAACCTGAGGAATCAGGTGCAATTAAAAAAATCTTTTTAGGAAAGTAAGAAACCAAATTAAAATTTTAACCTTTATAAATATAAAATAAAACTTTATTTTTTTAAATCAAGATTTTATACCCACAAACTTCTTACATAATAATTATTTTTTTGACAGGTACATAATTATTATTTTTTATCCTTCGTGAGAATGCAGAATAAATAAACCCTATAAATATTTATAGTATCGACTAAAGCACAGCTTTAGGATAGGTTTCGGTGGCCCTTTCATTTTTCTTTACGCATCTTTCGTTTTCTCCATTCAAGATTTCCGGCTTTCATCTCACAATCACAATCACAATCCAAGGTAACTTTTTTTCTGTTTAAGATCATAACGCAACTCTGTTTTTGTTTTGTTTTGTTTTGTTTTGTTTTGTTTTACCTGCTGTAGATCGTATGCTTACGTTTTAATGTCATGTACGTAATAGCATCTTTCTGGGTCTGTTTGATTTTGCTCGAATCTCGTTGAGAATCTGATTTTTGTTCATTTTGCTCAGAAAGGAAAGAGATTTAGAAAATGGTCAAAAAGAAAGCATTAAAGTACTAGCTTTTTGCTTTATTTTCTCAATTTTTGAAGGAAAGAGGGGATTTTTGAGGCACTAGACTGATGCTGATGGATCATTTGTTCTTTTTATCTCGTTAGGTACATGAAATAGTTATGGAGAAAAAGTGTCTGACATTTTGATCCTACTTTTTGGAATCCAGATAGTGATGTTGATGCATTGTTTTTATTTTTTAGCCATTTTCTTTAGGAGTTTTTGCCGTGGATTAATACCAGATTCTTTTAGGATCCTACAATGTCAATAAATGTTGATTGCTAAAATTCTGGGCTTTAGTTGGATAAAATCTTGAAGATAGAATACACTGATAAAAAAAAAAAAATGTTAAAATTTGATTGAGAGCACTGATGCAATTTGTTCACTTTGTGATCAAAGATGAGTGATGAAGCTAACACAACCGAAAATCAAGTTCAGCGTTCTGCACCTCTGAAACTGAATGAGAGGATCCTTTCGTCTCTATCAAGGAGATCAGTTGCTGCACATCCTTGGCATGATCTTGAAATTGGTACCTATTAAATTAGAAGATGATCTTGTTTGACAACCTTTAATGATTTCTCCAAGGATAGGGAATCAGCCATGTTGAGAATTTTTTTTTTTAAAAATTTTTTCAGGACCTGGAGCTCCCCAGATTTTTAATTGTGTATGTTTTCTCTTTAAACCATATCCAATGAAACAGTGTTAATGGCACTGGAGCTTTTTTTTCTTTTTTATTAAACCTTGTTTTTGCTCAAATTGTACAGGTTGTTGAGATAACAAAAGGAAGTAAGGTCAAATATGAACTTGACAAGAAGACAGGACTTATTAAGGTATATAAGAAATTTCATACAGTGATAGAAGTTCCTAGTCTTAACAGACAGATACAGAAAAAAAGGAAAAAAACATGTCAATAATAAGCTGATGAACAGATGCTCTTTTCCTCTTCTACTGTTTCCAGTCTGTCGTGTTTGTCAAATTACCTGTCACATCTTCATTTAAACTTGAAATTTTTTGGACAAGATAGGATTTTTACCTTGAACCAAAGAAATTTCACATGTTGACAGAATTATGTTGCTCTATACATGTTAATTTCCCCTTCACATATGTGTCTATATTTTTAAGTATATTTTTAATTGTTTGAATAAATGTCAGGTTGATCGGGTTTTGTATTCATCAGTGGTATATCCTCATAACTATGGTTTCATTCCCCGAACTTTGTGTGAAGACAATGATCCATTGGATGTCTTGATCCTCATGCAGGTAATACATATCTGATGTTTTTATCATTTTTCTTCATATGACACATCCATGTACTTAGGTCAAATGGCAACAAACTGTAATCTCAAGTGAAAAGGGTTAATTTTTGGAATCCTTATCTACATGTTGATAGTACTATAAAGTTCCAGACAGCTTATTATTGAAATCTTGCCATATATAATTGGTGATGAACTCCATACTGTCTTAGTTATTCATAAAGTAACATTGAAAGTTCTTTTATAATTTCTTAAAAGTTCCAATTCATCAAGACACCCTAATCTAAGATTCTATACATCATTAAGTTGCCATGCCAAATTTAGTCTGGTGTCTTAATTGTTGCATTATATAGAGGAATGTGATCAACAATGCTGATAATGGACTTTTTTTTTTTCTCTCTGGCTAGGAGCCAGTACTTCCTGGATGTTTTCTGCGAGCCAAGGCCATTGGATTAATGCCCATGATTGACCAGGTTTTCCATCAAAGTTCTAAAGCTAATTTTTGACTCTCAGCTTCAGTTTATGTGATAATTCCTTTATTTTTCTTCTCCAGGGAGAGAAAGATGATAAGATCATTGCAGTTTGTGCTGATGATCCAGAGTACAAGCATTATAATGACATCAAAGAGCTTCCTCCTCACCGCCTTTCTGAGATCCGCCGTTTCTTTGAAGACTGTATCCTTTCTTAATCTCACATGACAACATCTAAGTCTATTTCCCACCTTTCATTTTGTGAAGATCATTCAGGGTTTGTGTACATTATGGAAGATTCCATTTTCTTAACATACTTCATAGACAAGAAAAACGAGAACAAGGAGGTTGCAGTGAATGAGTTCTTACCTTCAGAGACTGCACATGAAGCTATACAGTACTCAATGTATGCCTATCTTAAAGCATTAAACCTCTGAAAGCTAAGGCTCTTAAGTGTATTACCAATCCTCTTTGATTACCTATCTTTTTGTCAACAAATTGCCATCATAACATTGTTGTTTCAGTCCTCCACCTCACTGATGTTTCTTGTGTTCCACTGGCACAGGGACCTTTATGCTGAGTACATTCTGCACACCCTGAGGCGATGACCGTGCAGGCCATTTTTTATCAATTCTTCACTTCCGGATTCGTATTAATAAGCCGTTCTTAACAGCGGTAGTTGAATATGGATGACAGACCTCATTTATTTCTTTAGTATAACTTGAATGATTATTGTTGTTGCTATTCTTAAACTAGGAAGGATTATCAGACTATTATCTCTGCTGGTATGCTTTATCTAGCAGTAATTGATCATTATTCTGGTTTGTAGAACCACCAATAGCTTGAAAATTGTAATGCAAGTGGTTTTATAGACAATCAATTTTCTTCTTTTGTTGGCCTGGCCTGCATCTGGTTGGTGGCCTTTGTATTACAAGGGCCGAATTCAAGCCAATTCATGCCTCCAATCATGCTGGGTTTTAACTTTTAACTGCTCTTTCAGAACAGGGCCAGTGGTGACAATATGGGAAATTGGGAATGGAAGCAACAATTAGAAATAAAGCCCATCAACACCAATTCCATCCCAAGATTGAAACTTGACATCTCTAACGTCAAAACTCGAGTTTTTAACCATTTAGTGTTCTTAGGGACGTGAGCTGATTTTTGTTTAAAGAGTTTGTTGAGTCATTCAAATCAGTCGGTAAAATGGCAATAAATTACAAATGGGCTTCTGAAGACTCTGGTTATGATCTAAGACCACGTTTGGTGGGGGGTGGGGGTGGGGAAAGGGAGGGAATGGAATGAATGAAATGCTGACTTCAATTCGACCTCCATTTCCATTAATTCCCCACGTTTGGCAAAATCAAATTTTAACAAGGTGATGGAATCGTTATAAGAGAATTGATTCCCTCCTTAAGAGGAACCATTATGCCTTATCTTTAAGCTTGGTATTGATTTCATTCTCTCCTCCCTTTACAAATTTGTGCTTATTATTTTTTTAATTTAATTCTCTCCTCCCTTTACAAATTTGTCCTTCCTATTTAAAATAATAATAATAATAAAAGACTAATAACCCTAAAATACCCATACATGATGTGGGTCGTTTATGAATCTAGCCTACTCCCTCTAACTGGAATGAAATCTAAGGAGGAATTGAGCTACTAAAAACATGATTTTTATCATGAGTTAGGCCTCAACTCAAAGGACAAGTGTACTCGGCGAGGATATCATCTAAACGTAAGGTACAAGATATCTGCTTATTGGATATATTCTTGTCTTATTGTAGATTTCATTTATTTCATGAATAAACCACATTGTGGAATTAGGTGAGGTGAAAAATGAATGAAAATGGTTTATTCACCCAGACTATGATTTCAGAAAAATAAAGAAGATGGAAGGGGAAGGAATTATTTTTTTTAATTAACTAAATTATAATTTAGTTATCTTTATAATTTAATATTAATTATTTTTTTTCCTTTTCTTTTATCTTCTTTTAAACCAAATTAATGTATCTTCAAAGGGTGTTTTAATTAATAAGAATTGATTCAAATTAAAAATTTTAATCTCAAGTCTTAAAGTACATGATTTAAAAAAGAATAGGATTATTTTTTCTGTATAACTTCTATCATTAGATTTAAAGAAAAGAAAAGGGCTTACTTCTTTTTGTTGTGCTAGACTGCTAGAGCACACCAAAAATTTTAAAAGAAATTAAAGGTTAACCTGTAAAAGGCATCAATTTATTTTTTTAAAAAAGGGAAAAACTGGATTTGGTTTTGAGCACCGAAAGAGCACTCAATTTATAGCCGATTTGAGAAGAGATTTGGGAGAAGTGGAGTCCACACCACACAACACATGACAACAAGTTGTCAATTCCTGGACGAAATTTCAAAAGGAATTTGGAGAGTGAAGAAGTTAAAGTGCGATCAGACTTTGAGACAGGGTTTGGTTATATGAACCTCAAATGTGAATGAGAAAGATACGCGAAAATTTGGAAAGTGTAACATATCTTCGGACCAACTTTTCAAAGCGAATGTGGATCACGAGTTTTCACCACATTATTATCACAATAAAGTTCCTCATCAGGTGCTCTGCCCTCCACTCTACCCCCTAGCTTCTTGCTCAATCAAATTTCATTTTCATCACCCAATTATTTCCACCCAAGTTGCCAATCATAAAATCAAAGGAAATAATAATAATAATAATAAATTTTTATTGACAAATCTATTAGTAATTTGCTTATCATTGCATATGTTGAACCTCTTACATGTATACTTGACTTTAAAATCAAGTTCTTTTTTTTCTTTTTTCTTTTTTCTTTTTTCTTTTTTCTTTTCTTTTCTTTTTTTTTTTTTTTTAAATTCCAACCATATATGTATATCTTATGGTTGGACAATAGATTTAAAATTAGTGATTCAAACTAACCTTGATGCCATTTAATTATTTGGACTTTATAACTCCACATGATATTCCCTGAGCTATGCTTATGGTCGCATATTAATTACATATCTGGGCTGATGGAGCTAATGTTAGGGTTTAGATATATGGCCACCATCATCTGGCATTATGGTTCCCAATATCCCACTTCGAAGTCTTTTATAATTAGTTTGTATGTAAAGAGAGAGACATAAAAGGACCTATATGTTACCTATATATTTATGTCTAGGGCATGCATTACTCTCCATAATAGCACACGGAATAGTAATTTAGAATACACTATTCATGTATATATATTGGGGTAAATTAGCTAAGAGAGCTATATATAGCCTAGCTGCCTAGTTACTGCAATGAAATTTCCTGTTGCATATATAACTCTTCAACTATTGTGTACATCATCTGACTATAATTAATTATTTTCTACTTTAGTACCATTCATTGAGATTAGGGCAGCATATATATATTGATATTTACTATCAGAAGATCAGGTCTTATTTTGAAATTAATTTTTTATGAATATTTTTAAAGATATATTCCTTGTATCAATCTAATGTATTAAAAAAAATAAATTTTCTTAAATATTAAGTTTTAGACTTAAATCCTTAAAGTACTTAGCACAATATATATGTATGTATAAAGATTAATGGGTATTAATTTATATTGTAAAAAATTAAATAAAAAATATATTGAAATTATATCATTTTAATAAAGTAACATAAAAAAAATTAAAAACAACATTATTATTGTTTTAAAAATTAAGATATTTTAATTTTTTTAATAAAATTTTATTAAAATCACGAGATTTTAAAATGTTTTTTTATTTAATTTTTTACAATATAAACTTATACCTACTTTTCCAATATACTTTTCTTTTATATATATAAAATGGATTTGTGCCATCTGATTGGTTGCGTAGGGGAAGAAAAATCTGAAGGCCAATTTGATGAGGACTAATTGTTTACCGACGGAGCAGAGGGGGGACCCCACGGGGACAGGAACGTGTACTGCGTGGTTGCTATCCCTAACTCTATAATGGATGAAAGCCATGGGTGTGTTGAAGAGATAAGAAAACAGGCGCTTTTGTCTGGAATTGATGAAACCATGGTGCAGTTATTGCTCTCTCAATGCCGCCATGAGTTTGTTAATTTCCAACAAATTATATTAATTTAACTAAAAGGCAGCCTGCAAGCATATATATGCATGCAGATGCAGAGTAACAGCTAGAGAGTTGAGTAATTAGTGGTTACAGCTTGGCAGATAAGTTAAATTTTATATAAATAAATAAATAAATATATATATATATATATTATAGTGAAGGTACAGTGAAACCTGAAAAAGGGAAGGATGATATATATACTGTTTGGCACCATAAAGCTTGAATAAGATAAAGAGAGGGATACCATATATATATATGCCAAGAAAAGATAAAGGGAATGGAGGGTACCTAGAGCTATTGTAGGGCTATTGAAGAAAGCGACCCATCATCCCAGCATCAACGGTTTTGATCAGATTTGAGCCAGTCTGGCCCACTACGCAAATAAATATATACAGTAATGATCACACTATATAGAAAATTATACCATGATCAAGAACAAAGACATCATACATACAAATACATATTTATAGAGTAAAAGTTCGTAATTAGTATGTATGTATGTTGGTGGTTTCTTCTGCTTCTGCTTCTGCTTCTGCTTCTGCTGGTGTCATGCACACTGGTGCGTGTGTGTGTGTGCGCATTATTATATAGCTGCAGCTAGCCCTAAGTCTGCCCATATTAGAAAAAAAAATTATTTGGGTATCCTCTCTAGTCTCTATGCCTCCATTTGAAGTTCCCTTTTTCAGCTACCAGCTGGATTTATTGGCCCTGCAATCCTGCATCCTCCCAGCTAGATAGCTTCTACAGTTATGGTACATATTTATGGACCCACTTTTATCATCTAAAGTAGTACTTTAATTAAATTAATGTATACTCTCTGCAATTAATTTCAATATACATACATACATATATATATATATGTATACGCCTTAATTAATTATGCAAAGCAAAACCCTAGCTCTAAGTTTTGCTCAATGTATTGCTGAAAAAGGAAAAGGAGAATTCCCTGGAAATTAATCATGGAGTATTGTTGAAGTGAGATTAACAAGGCGGTGAGTGGAAAATAATGGTGGCTGGAGCAAGGAGACAAAAGGCCAACAAAAGAGAATAAACCGCCAACTGGACGGTGGCGATCCAGCAGCTAGTCTGGGTTGTGGGTACGGTTACGGGTACCCTAGCTAAAGGAGAGGTGGTCCTAAACCTCTGGAGCTACTGTGCCCTCAATAACACAGTTAATTTGCTAGTGTCTCTAAATATATACCACCATTTTACCAACGGTAATATATATAATGTAATATAATATAATTAAAGAAATTAAATTATAACCATGAAAAAAAAAGGAATTAAATTATAAATCCCCATAATTATTTAATTTAATAACCTTCCATAAATGGGAGGAGAAATGAGGAGCTTTCATCTGAGTAAATGATGAAAGAGAGAATAAAATTAAAAAACAAAGAAGAAGAAGAAGAAGAAGAAGAAAGAGGTCCCCATGCATATATTTATATATACAGAAATAGGGTTTTGTTTAGGGGGACTAGTGCTTTAGCTTTAATAACTTTAAAGGGCAGCACAGGAACAGGAGCAGAGGGGTTGGGGTGGGGTGGTTCTTTGATGTTTACTTATGATATTTCCTCGTAAATTCTCGATAACTGTTACTTACAACCTGTTTGTTTATAATTATATAAATGTGGACATTTTGAGCACGTTACCCTTCTCAAGTTAAGCTGATGCACCCCCTACACCCCTATGCATCAACACAAATGTATAGGAGACGATGGTAAAGGAATAGTATCAGCTTTGCTTTGTGTTGCTTTTGCAGTTTCAGCATTTTGTTTTTTTTTTGTCATACGGAAGAGGGCAGATTTACTTTGCAGCCGCATCACTTTAAGGTGCGCGGAAAGGATAATGCACTTTATCAACCCGTCTGGAAATTTAGTGTATTTATCTAAACAGTAAGTAGTAATTATTTTTTTTTTTTTTGGTTTTTTTTTATGAACTGACTAGTAAAGATTTTATTTGGTTTGTGAGTAGTGTTTATTTTTCTGTCATAAGAATATGGAGCTAGTGGCCTAGTGGGCGCATTACTAGTATGGTCTCTTTCATTTAGATGCTAGAGGTTTTGAATTCAAGATATATTGTTTGAGTCAAATATGTGGAATTGGTTAAAAAAAAATTAAAAACAAATAAACTAACATGTAATAGTTGTATTATGAGTAAGTAAATGTGATTTGTAAGTTAATACTTTCCGGTTTAAAGTCTTGAGACCAACATTAAGGAAATTTAATTTTCTTAATTATTAATTGTACTAGACGAATGGAAGAGTACACTAGTTTTGATACTAAGATAATTTTGGAGAAATTAATCTTAAAATACACATAAATTTACTTGAAAGCACCCTTACCCCTTGTTTAATTGGTTTAAGAAAAATATAGGGGATGGAAGGGAAGGAAGGGAAATAAAAGTAAAAAAATATCTTTCCATCTCTCTTTGGACACTTATTAGAATACATTTTAATTCAAATATTACATAATACACTCATTAAAAATTCACTATTTTTGGTTTAAAATTTAAGGTAGATAAACTTAAAAATGCAATTATACGTATAGATGCAAAAACCAACTGAATCGACTAGACTTATATTATATTTTAATAACTAAACAGAGACAAATGTTAGAAAGTATGTTGAACCGAATATGTACCAAATTATTTTCTTTCCTCTCCTCTTTTATTTTTTATTTTTATTTTAGATTGTATAGTGAAAGACAACCATTTCTTATCTCTTATAATCACAACCTACCTACATGTTATGTAATTTCAATTCATGATCTCTTTTTCTGCCGCTAAATTACTTAAATCGTTAGCTCCTTTCTCTCCTCTTGTTTGGTTAGAATACATAAAATCCAAAAAAAATTAAAATAAAACAAAGGAAAGCTGCTCTCCTTCTCTCTATGTTTTCTATCCGAAACCGAATAGAAAAATTTCTCTACTTCCCCCACCCCCCAAACCAACCCAGCTATTAAGGCTTAAACCCACAAAAGAAACGCACACATTAAATTACCAATTAGTACCATTAAGGCATTGGTCCAACAATCATTACTAAGGCCAACATTGGAACTCTAAATTTTTAAAGCCACTTTGTTTTTCATCAATGTTATTCTCAAGATGGGTTGTACAGTCAATTTGTTGTTCATCAATGTTCTCTCAAGATGGGTTGTAAAGTCAATTTGTTGTTCATCAATGTTATTCTTAAGATGGGTTGTAATCCGATTGGAGTAACCATTATGTTTCCATCAATGAAATTTTGATTCATCAAGAACAAAATATAGTGTACTCAGATATAGTTAGGAGAAAAGAGATTGAGTAGATTTTAGCTCCTGTTGGGAGTATGAGGTACTCTATAAGGAACCAGTCAAACTTGGATTTTTTTTTTTTTTTTTTGGTGGGGGATATGACTAACTAGGACATGGTTGACGTTGAAAGATGAAATAATCCACATGGAAAATAATAAATCAAGCTTAATTAGACCATAGTGATTACGAGAAATTGTTTGATTGTGAAAATGCATCAAAGACAACAAAACAACGTGGTTTATGGAGGTTCCGTAATCTGTCCAACCCCATAAAGTGGAAGGTCTAATTGGACCACAAAAAATCAATACCCACAGCCACCGGCTGGATCACTACTTATGTTTTTGCAGAAATCCACATCAACTATATGTACAACTCTAATTCATTTTTAAAACCATCTAAATTCATCAACATTCAATTCCTACCAAAATTCAAATAATTTAATTTTAAAATAAATATAAATCATTGATTGATATCTATATATATATACACACCTCGATATTTCTTAATCAATTATCCTTTTCCTTTGAAAATGGATGAAAATGCAAGTCGTTCATGTTGGACCATACTATGAAAAGAATGGATGATAGGATTGTTGTCATCGAAAAGTGGCAACCATCTTTAAGGACCCGATGGTAGATGATTTTTTGAGAACTTAATTTGCAAAATAGATAGCTGTCAATGCTTAATTAGTCAAATACATGTGAATTCATGAAACGTCGAGAGAGTTGTGTCGCTCATAGAAGGAGATGGGAGATAGAAAATAATGAGAAAAGGCGGAATAAGACTAAAGAGAATGAGTGAAGACATCCAAAAATGAATAGCCTCTCCCCCATTGATGCCGAGGCTAAATCTTAGTCAAAATGCCCTCCATTGGTACGAACATAACTCCCATCCAAAATTACCTTTCCCTCTAGTTAGGCTATTGTGGGGAATTAGGCAGCTAGTTATCGAGTTCCTTGAATATGTGTTTTTGGGTTTTGGCCCATTGTAGGTCCAATTTAGGGTATAACAAGCACATAATCTTCATTATTCCCCACTTTATTTTTTTACTATTATTATGTACATTGCTGCATTAATATGTGTAATTTCCTGGCTTTTAATTAATATATCAAGGAATGTCTGCTTTAACATTTTTAAAACAGCTATCACTTTATCAATTGTTTTGGATTATAAATAATAATAATTATTAACCATAAGATATCAATTATTATTAATTATCAACAACATTTGAACCGTTAATTTAAGCATCTCTTAATTAGTAGTCTTTTTCGTGGATTTTGTTTTCACTCTTTGGATTTCCAATTTTCCTTTTGGAGCTCCATATATCATTATAAATTGTATCCCTTCTTTGTTAATTTAAATGATTAATCGAGATGGGAAGATACATGTATTAATGTATATTTTTATAAATTACACACACCTAAGATTTCTTTGATGGGATTATTGAGTATCTTCAAAATATTCAATTACAATATTTGGTATTTATATAGGTGTTTATTGAAAATTTTCAAACACTAAACTAGTAAAGTCAATGCTTAGGGACTTGAATGTTTATGGTAATAGAAAGCTAAAAGCACGGTGTTCCTTAATTACACAATTTCATTATTAACAATTGGACATGGTAAACCTAATTTAACATGTATAGTTGACTCCTTTTATTCAAAGGTCATCTACCTATAAATTTTTTTTTTGAAAAGCCAAATAATATTTTTAATAAAAAACTGAGTACAATGGGTACTCAAACCCATTTACAAACATGCAAAAATACAAACCAATTCAAGTTACCCCCATCTTTCAAACCTATCCTTCTCCAATTTATTTATTCCCCCCCACAGTTAATAATAAGGCATGAGATTGGATCCTGCATGAAATTGGATCTTGCAACCAATCTAAAAGATTGAAGTAACATCTATATATAATATTGTATGTATTTGCTTATTTAATATCATGTATATATACACCTGCCGTTTTCTATTCAAAGGTTTACGAATAATATTATACGTATCTACTTATTTAATACCATTAAATTGTCAATAAAATTGTATAGATAAAATTATGTGTGTATCATCTTTAATTTGTATAGTAATAGTTCAACAATAAAAATTATGAATTTTTTTTGGTATATGATAGACTATATAATAGAAGATAATCCTTTATTTTCTCTCTCCCCACATATCTCAAGATTTAAATTCAAAATTTTGAATTTAGAGTCTCAAGGTGAAAATTATGATTTAATAGTAGTGGCAACGTTTGTTAATTTTTTTTTTTCAATGAATAACGTTTGTTAAAATTTGTCTTCCAATAAAGTAATTAATTTGAGATGAAAAAGAAAAGACTATTTTTTTCTTTGTTAAATGCATATGGTTTCCTTAAATTGTTAAAGCCTTAATTACTAGACAATGGCAAAAGTATAGTCCTATAACTGCCTCTAATTTTTTACACTTATAAATGAGCCCTTTTATGAGAAAGTTACTCCCCAAACCACCTTTGAAAAATCAATTACTCCCTAAACTCATATATTCTCATTCTAATAAAATCTAAATTTACCCTTTTAATCACTAATTAGTCATCAATACTACAGAAAGTGATTTGCAATTTTGGGTTTAATAGATACATAATCCAACAGATACAAATTATATATAATTAAGCATACATATATGTATATATATATAGTTTAGTTTAGGGAGAAAAACAACAAAAAGGCTCGAAATGGATTTGATAAATAAAGCTGAAGTACACTGATCCATGTAATAATTGAGAAATCTTCGGCCACCGGCCGGAGAATGACAGCCGCAGGACTGCAGGAGGAGGATGCAGCAGCGCCACCGTCCACCTCAACTTTTTTCTCTCTTTGCAGGACCAGCAGCATGATAAAGTCAAAACTCGAACCTAACAAGAGAAACATGTACTCAATCTCTCTCTCGCTCAACCTGACATCCCTTTATGCTTGAACCTGAAAATAAACTGGGTTATAAAAAAAAAAAGAAAAAAGAAAAAGTGATATGGAAAATATTGGTAAGTAAAAACAACAACAATAATAAATGAAGACGGTATCCATGATAATGTAAAAATGAGGTTGAGAGCAAATTTCATGGGTACCATATACTGACTGTTGGGTTATAGGATTAGGACCAACTGGCGTTTTGGGACTTTAGCGGAAGAGGAGACAGAGAGAGAAACCAAATGCTGAAAACGACAAGCTCACATGAGCAGAACCAGATCATTCATGGGCCCCTACGTAGTATTTCACCATTACCCCCACCCTCTCTCTCTCTCTCTCTCTCTCTCTCTCTCTCTCTCTCTCTCGTTCTCCCTCCCTTTCTTTAATCTTTTAAGAACCAAAAAAGAAACCAAACTA